TTTTGTAGATAAATAATAATACGTATATCATGAAATAATATTTATTAAACTAGTCTTAGAATAACATTTTCTATGTTAAAATAGCTCTTATCACAGAAAAAATTCCAATGGGTATGTCAATGAGTAGTTTCTTTTTAACTGAAATTTCAACATCTCCATGGGAGTTTTAGATGGAATGTGATGATTCCCACGAACATTTTTCTATCCATATTTTAACCATTGTAAAAGTCTACTGTTGGAATTTTTAAAATGGCCAACGAAAATTCAAATATAAAGTTCATTCAAACATATTCCTTTTGTTGGAATATCCGTTTGAATCAATTAAAAAATTTCAACCGGAATAATAGCAATGGAATGTCCATTAGAATTGCCGTTGGAATTACATTGGAATATATTTTTAGTGAAATTTTATTATTTTCCTTGTATTGTGTATTTGGTAATGACATGTAATAAATAGCATTAAAAAGGTTTATTTTTTACATTCAATATGAATATCTATTTGTAGATTATAAGAAAAATATTAATTTTAACTCATACGATATGCATAAAATATGAACAAAAGAATATGTATACAGAAACTAATAAAAAGTGAACATTCTTTTCACAAGATATAAGAAATAGATTTCTCACTAAGTTTTCCAAAAAAAAAAAGAAAACAAAAAGAAAAGAAGAAAAAAAAAACAAGCAATCACAAACATGGAGCATTTAATTGTTACACGCACCAAATAGAAAATTTCAAAAGTTGATTAGTGGTAATAAAAATATGATGTGTTATTTAATTGTTTCGTTGGTCTTACATTAATTTTTTAGTTACTTGCACATACAGTAAAATAAGAATTGGGCTACTATATAAACTAACTTAACTTTTTACATAAAATGCACATAATATTTGAAACTTCACCCAGGCGACAACCCAAGTTGATTCAATTTACCTCTGCCCCTGGCTGATGGGTCACGGGGTCGCTATGGCGACCAAGGACCTAAGAGCCATGGATGTAGAGGGAACAAAATCCTGGAAAAGCCCTTCTCATGTAAGCCCTTGGAGGAATACTCTTATTTGGGTTAATGAGTTATTGGAAGCTAAGGAATAAAGGGGGAACTACAGTTTGATTAAAAATATCTTCTCAGAATGTGAGAGCTCAACCATCTTACAGATCAAAACACTCAATCTTACACAGGAGGATAGATGGAAGTGGATTTTTGGCAAGATGGAGAGTTTTTTGTTGCCAACTATTATACTCACCTCATGGAAGGAAAGATTCTGCAACTTGACCAAGCAGAAGAGAGGTCATCAGCCTTGTGGGATTAGAAAATAAAGGATATAAAGAAGCTGGAAACTGAGAGTCAAAGACAAGGTGAAACACTTCATTTGGAAGTGTCTCACTGAGATTCTTCCTGCCAGTATGAATTTAATGACAAAATGAGTTAGGGTGGATGTTATATGTAATATGTGTAGAGACGGTGAAGAGACAATTGTACATCTTATTAGAATACAATAATACTTGTGAGTTGTTCCACATCGCTTATACAGGAAAAATAGACCCAACTTATAAGACTAGTGGGCTACTCCTCCTTTCACCACTTTATTTTGGGATGAAATCTCGCATGGGCTTCATATGGGCTTTCCCTGTCATGGTGCGCTTTATCTGCGTGAGACTGCACCCATTTTTCCCCCGATTTTTACATGGTATCAGAGGCAGCCTACGTGGGTCCTGGCAATGATGTACCCGTTACCGAGCCCAGTTGGGATTGGTGGTCGTATGAAGGACTCGCAAGTGATGGGCTTATTAGAATATAATACCACTTGTGAGTTGTCCCATATCGTTTATACAGAAAAAATAGACCCAACTTATCAGACTAACTGAACCAGACTAACTGACTACTCCTTCTTTCACCAATTGGTTTGGGGATGAAATCTTACTTGGGTTCATCTGTGCTTTCCCTGTCATGGTGCGTTTCATCTGCGTGGGATCACATCCGTTTTATCCCTGATTCTTACACATATGTTCTTGAACTGCAGGAGGGCTAAAAAACTTTGGAAGTTGGCACTCCTAGACTGGGAAGTTATTCAAAATCAGATTGGGAGCTTCAAACAATGCTGGGGGAAAGTTTATTCTATTGACAAATCAGGAATCTTTGAGGCCCGCATCCAACTAACTACATATCTCTTATGGTGGCTTTGAAGGTCAAGGAAACTTTCGCTATTCCAAAGAGTAAAACAGCTTGAGGAAATCATAGTGAAGAGAGCTTGGATTGAGTGGCAAGAGTTTTCTTCTATTGCTTTATAATTTTCTCTACTGTCTGTTTCTTCCTATTTGTTTGTTTCTTGTTGTTGTTTCTTGTTGCTTTGGTGTAGTTGTGTTAGTTAGCTTGGTAGAGGTGGTTAGCATCTTGGTGTTCCAGTCAGTTTTCTGCCCCTAGATGTGTTATTCGAATGTGTTTGTGGGCCACTTTTAGTGGTTCTCTATGTGTTTTAGCTTTTGCGGGCTTATTGTTAGCAGGTTAAACAAGTCAGGCCCCACGTCAAAACAAGGACCGTGCATGACCACATGCAACAATTCCTTGTAACAGATTCTGAGTAACAATTCAAACTATTTCTGTTTCTTGTGTAGGTGGTTTTGACAGCTCATCATAGTACCTTATTCTTATCTTATCAGGTTGTAGGTAGGTCTATTAGAGTCCATATAAATATGCTTGTAAGGCACCTCTTTTTATTCAAGAAATGAAAGCAAGTCTGCAGTTTTCCTTTTTCATTGTTAAACCCTAAAATAGCTAAGCCATCTCTTTAAGCTTTTTATCATGATTTGTCTTGTTTCCAACATGGTATGATCAGTGGATGAAATGTGCAAAGGAATAGTAAGATTTATGCCAGATGCATGAGAATTATCAAAGTGTTGCTCATTTTGTTTAGAATAATCAAAAGGAAAAATATCTTCACTGAAAATAACATCTCTAGAAATAATGATTTTCCCACTCTTAAGCTGCACTTTATAACCCTTATAATGAGAGTTATATCCTAGAAACACCCCCTGCTGAGATCTCATATCAAGTTTATCATGTGTTTGATATTTAATGTGGGGAGAACAAGCACAGCCAAAAGTTTTGAGGTGATTGTAGAAAGGTGGTTGGCCATGCAATTTCTGAAATAGAGTTTTATTTAAAATGGTCTTGTTTGGTATTCTACTGATCAAGTAAATGGATGTGGAGAAAGCTTCTTCCCAGTATTTCTTGGGAAGTTTGGAATGAGAAAACAAGTTGAGAGCTATCTCTACCACCTGCCTATGTTTCCTTTCTACAAGACCATTTAGTTGACGAGTGTGTGGGCAAGATATTCTATGTAAGATGCCTTTTTCTGTGAACAATTTCCCTAAAGGTTTAAATTCAGTCCTCCCATCACTTTGTACCATCTTGATCTGAAGATTAAATTGATTTTCAACCAAGTTCTGAAATTGAATAAAGGCTCTCAAGGTGTCTGATTTATGGGAAAGAAAGTATATCCAAGTGAATTTTGAGAAGTCATCAACAAAAGCTATATAGTATGAACTTCCTGAGGTTGATTTTATGGGTGAGGGACCCCAGGGATCAGTATGTATGAGTTCAAAGGGTGATTTGGTGATATATGTAGAAGTCTGAAATGGAAGTTTATGGGACTTAGCTTGAGCACGATATGAACAAAAGAGATCTTTATTGATAACATAAGGAAGATTACAACCATTAAAAGCTATCTTGGTTACATCAAATGAAGGATGTCCCAACCTTCTATGCCAAAGATCTAAGGGCTTAGCAGCACTAATTACATAAGCAATCCCTCTAATAGACTGTTGATCTATATTACTGAAAACCAGATTGTCTTCACTCTTGTTGGGAACTCTACTTAACTTGAAAGTATATAGTCCATATTTAAGGGTCCCTTTGAGAAGAGGCAGACCTGAAGTTTTGTCATTCACAACATAGAAAGTAAGAAAAAATTCAAAGAACACATCATTATCCTTAGCAAATTGAGCAACACTTATTAAATTCTTTTCAATTTTAGGGACATGTAACAGGTTTTGGAGTTTAAAAGTATGCTTGGAGCGATTTGTGTTTGAGGGACTTGTGAAAATAGCCTTACCAACATGAGCAATATCAAGCCCTGACCCATTTCCAATCTGAAGTTTGTTGGGTCCTCCATATTCTGAAGCCACACTGAGGTTGCCAAAATCATTGGTGATGTGGTGAGATGCACCTGAGTCTAGGAACCACTCATTTTCAGCACTGGTACCAAAGTTTTCCTTTGTTGAAATCATGGTTGAGGACTGGCTTACACTTTTGCTGTCATAGTAAGGCCTTTATTGTTGTGATTGAGGCACAAAATCAGCATTGAACCTGTTGTAACACTTGTCAGCAGTGTGGTGGTGTATCCACAAATCTGGCATTGAACTTTTGACTTAAAGTTCCTTCCTTCTCTGCCTCTACCTGACCTTTACCTCTGAATTCTTGCTGATTTCCTCTTCCTCTTGAGGCAGTGTTGTTATCAAAAGGCTTATTGCCTTGCACAACCATATTTGCTGATGGTATGCTTGTGCTTTCACTTGCAACAATGGCAGCTTGGAGCCTACTCTCAAAGGTAAGCAATAGTGACATCACATCTATCATAATGAGCTGATCTGGTCTGGCATTGATGCTTACTACCACAACATCATATTCTGAGCTCAAACCACTAAGCACATGTAATGCAAGTGTGAGCGTCCTGGTTCGGTTTGGAGCGGATCGATCTTTGTCCTCGCCGGTAGAACGCCGAAAACCTGCAAGTAACTCTCACACTGGGGGTTGTGTCCGGTGAAGAGCCTCTGATGCTTAAGTCAGTATGTGTATGAGTATACTGAAGTGAAGAATGAATAGAATGTGTTTTGGGGAGAAAGGTTCACCCCCCTTTATATAGGGGTGAGATACCTGCCCTAATAGCTGCCCGGATAAGGATGAGTTGGCTGCCCAAGCTGCCCGTCCGTACTCTGACACACCGCGCACATGTCAGAGGTGGTGCAAGGCGTTGGGAGCTGTCAGAGGTGGTTATTGCTATCACCCAATACATTCTCGACACGTGTCCTCCTGCACATGGGGTAAATATTCTCCTGGAATTCAGCTGGAAGCTCTTACACGCGCCTGTGACTAGGCCGATCTGTTGAGCGTTGAGTCCGCGAGATGTTCGACCTGCTGAGGTCGATAGGATTGCTCGATCGTTTGTTTGGTCGAGCGATGGGTTGGTCGACTGTTTGACTGGTCGACAAGTTATTTTGCTCGATCTTCTCCTCACCTGGCTCGATTCCTTCATGGTATGACCCTCTAAACCGGTTCGGCGGACCGGTTGATCCTTGAGTATATAATATCCCATATCAACATGCATGATTTGGTCCTGTTCGGTGATTGTATGACCACCAGCAGCTAGAGTATCACAATACATTTTAACCTGGTTCACATACTCTCTAATATTGAGGTTTCCTTTCTTAAGATTTTGAAGTTGAATCTTATAATGCATGGTCCTAGCCTTGGACTGAGTTGAGAGGCTAGATTCAAGGTTGTTCCAGATCTGGAAAGAGGTGTTCATACCTATGACTGAAATGAGGATCGATTCAAATAAGGAGGAAATGAGCCATGAAGCCAATAGTTGGTCTTGCCCTTGCCAGCTGGTGTATTCTGGATTGACTTGCAGCAGCCCTTCTTTATCTCCTGGAATGAACCTCATTGGAGGTTGAGTGGATCCATCAAGATGGCCTTCAAGCCCATAGACTCTGACCATGGTGAGCACTTGTTGCCTTCAGATAAGGTGATTTTCATCAGTGCGCTTTATGGAAATTAATTGATTTTGGAGTTGTATGGGTTGAGCAGGTGAGAGGGGGTTGTGACCAGCGTTTGTTGTTAATTTTCTAGACATTTTGAACCAGATGGATCAAAGAAAATTATCCCTGCTCTGATACCATGTTGGAAGAATGCCATGCACAGTGAGTATCAAGCTTTGATCGAGAACCACACTTGGGATGTTGTTCCTCTCCCCACAGCCAGGATACCCATAGGTTATAAATGGGTGTTCAAAACTAAACTCAATACTGATGGATAAGTTTCCAGGCATAAAGCAAGGCTTGTAGCCAAGGGTTACACACAAGTTGCTGGCATAGACTACCAAGAGATATTCAGTCCTGTAATGAAACCTGTCACCATCAGATTAGTACTTACCATAGCTTTAAGCAAAGGATGACAGATCAATCAGTTAGATGTGGACAATGTATTCCTTCATAGGCCCCTTGACTCTTCCACTGAAATTTACATGCAAGAGCCCCTAGATTTGAGACACACAAGACACCTGGTTTTGCTTGCAAAATTCATAAGGCTATTTATGACTTGAAACAAGCCTCTAAGGCCTGGTTTGATAAATTAACTTCAGTTCTCATTGGTCTGGGATTTAAACCTTCATTTGCAGACACTTCTTTATTCATTCTCTCCACACCTACTCACACCATTTATATCATTGTCTATGTTGATGACATGATTCTCACAGAAAGTAATTCATCAGTTATCAAGCACATCATTAACTGCCTTTCACAGGCATTCCCTATTACAAACTTGGGGGCTTTACACCATTTTCTTGGCATGGAGGTCATTTACACTAAAGAAGGTCTCCTGCTTACACATCAAAGTTACATACAGCAGATCCTTCAGAAAGCTGCCATGCATAATTGCAAAGGCATCTCCAGCCCCATGTTCAGCTTACCCAGTCTCTCTAAATATGAAGGTGCCCCATTTTCAGATGGTCTCTTATATAGACAAATAATTGGGAGCTTGCAATACCTAACCATCACTCGGCTAGACATCACTTTTGCTGTAAATAAGCTTAGCCAATTCATGCAATCTCCTCTTGATTCTCACTTGAAAGCTACAAAGAGGCTTCTGAGGTATATTGCAGGCACATCTACCTATGGCATGCAGTTCACAAAATCCTCTCATCTTCACATATCAGCATTCTCTTACTCAGACTGGGCCTCTAACTCCGATGACAGAAAGTCTACCTCTGGTCATTGTGTCTTTGTTGGGCAAAACTTGGTATCTTGGAGTTCTAAGAAACAACAAACTGTTTCTCGGAGCAGCACTGAGGCCGAGTATCGAAGCTTGGGTACTCATGCTGTCACCGATGTTTTATGGATCAAGACTCTTCTGTCTGAGCTTTGCATCTCTAAAATTCCTACACCAAATATATGTGTGGATAACCTTGGTGTTGTCTTCATGTCCTGCAATCCCGTTGTTCAAGGTCGCACCAAGCACATTGAGGTCGATCTTCATTTTGTTCGAGAGAAAGGGCTCAACAAAATAATCTGTGTACTTCATGTTCCAGCTCTAGACCAAAAAGCTGACATCTTTACAAAACCGTTAACAGGTCAATTCTTTCTTCGCCTGAGAAACCGGTTAAATGTTGTACCTCTCAGCTCACTCGAATTGCGGGGGATGTTAGCAGGTTAAACAAGTCAGGCCCCACGTCAAAACAAGGACCATGCATGACCACATGCAACAATTCCTTGTAACAGATTCTGAGCAACAATTCAAATTATTTTTGTTTCTTGTGTAGGTGGTTTTGACAGCTCATCATAGTACCTTATTCTTATCTTATCAGGTTGTAGGTAGGTCTATTAGACTCCATATAAATATGCTTGTAAGGCACCTCGTTTTATTCAAGAAACGAAAGCAAGTCTGCAGTTTTCCTTTTTCATTTTTAAACCCAGAAATAGCTAAGCAATCTCTTTATGCTTTTTATCATGATTTGTTTTGTTTCCAACACTTATGTCTAATTTGTACTCGAACACTGGTTTGTTGTGTTTTGTTTAATGAGATATCTTCTATCGTCAGGAAAAAAAAAACGTGAAAACGCAAATATGCATTTCAGAGGAGAGTAAGAGCATGTTTGTTTATAAGAATTTTCAAAAAAATTCTCACATTTTAACTCAACCACTTTTTTTAACTCAATTTTAACTCAACCCCACTATCATCAATATTATCAATATAATTAAATAATATCAATCAATCATTTATACACACCACATGAACATTAATTCACTATTCATCTACTCACATAATTTTAACTAACCATCACATCACATCTTCTCTCTCTTACTTTTACATCAATTTAATTTTAATCATTTTATTTTAAATATTATTTTAATATACCCACTAACAACTAACCATACCACATTTTCAAAATTAACCAAACCAAACCAAAAAATCCAAACACATCCAAAAAATTTTATAAACAAACATGCTCTAATAAGTAATCCCAAACTGATCTTATTGCATTTTAGAGTTCATCAAGTCACAGTGATGAAATTTTAGCAGATTCTTCTCTATGAAGCAGTGCACAAGTCCAATTAAGTACAACTGTACATGAACTAACAAAGGTTGATTGGTGTTGCAAATAATGGTTTTCGCCATTCAGTAAACGAAATCATTTCCACTTGTATACACAGCTTGTTAATTTTATTTTTGAATTTCAAAAGACTATCTTTTCTTAGCTTAATTAATGCTAGCCATGCCGACTAATCTTAAACTAGAAGAGATAATAAAAGACTATGATAAAGTTAAGCTAAAAATGTGGTCCCCAACCCCTACACGTTGCCTGCTTCTTGTACTACGCAGCACATCATTTTCTAGAGTTGTACGTCGTGCATTAAACATAATAAATGCAGACATAGCATAATGAGCTAGCTTTGTCCATATAGTATATATTGCCTTGTTGCAACTTGAAATAAATGATGTAGATAGTCTTATTATAATAAATGTTTGACTTATCTTGTTCCCACTTTTTACATGCTTCCTTTTCATTTTCAATGCAAAACAAATGAGAAAAATGCTATAGTTACATAATAAATGTACAGAGAGATGTACATAACACTCACACGGGGTGTGGTCTACTTGATTTTTATTTTTGGTCGGTCTTACTTAATGTGAGTGTTATATACACCTCTATGTACAATTTTATGTACCTGTAGCATTTCTCAACAAATAAATATCATCATAAGTCCAACGTATTTGTGAAACAATATAATGACATGTCATTAGGGGTCTTAGTGACTATTGACACTAGTATTTGATCATGTGCATTTGCACAAATGTAAATAAAATATTATAAGTTATTTATATGCATGTATATTAAAATTATAAATTAAGTAATGATATTATATTTTAAACATAGAGTATTATAAGTTATATTTATGCATATAATATTAAAATTTTAAGTTAAATAATGATATCCGTCCATGACCAAGGATTCTGGTTGGATTTTCGTTCCTGATTTCCTTTTCTGTTTCTTTTGAATACTCAGATAGTGTCCCAAACCAATTATTTCATAACCAAGAAAAGAAGGTTGTATTTTGTGTGGTTTGGGAATATCAAGAAGATGGCATAAGGAGAATGAAGATAAAGAAAAAAAATATATCGTGTATTCTATTTGATATAATTGTTTGGTTTGATAATCAATGTATGATGTGAACCGTTAGTCTACGAGAGTTATCTCCGTTGATGGGGTTCCGATGTTCTCCTACTTTAGCCTATAGAGAGTAGTCTCTCGTTGATGGGGTTCCGACAGTTAGCTCTCGTTGATGGGTTTCCGACGGATAGATGTGATCTCATGAGCGTAGGCTGATGACAAGATAGACTAGACGATTTGTGTTCATGTTGCGATTATGATTTTAATTCATTAATTATATTGAATCGACTGCAGGGTATTCCCAAGGTGAGCTAGCTAGTTGGTTTGCTCACCCCCACTATATCCCCTTTCAGGTTGAGTTGGACCAGCTGGTAGCTGCGACGAAAGACGAGCGAGACGGGATCATATTTATTTGTTGGATTTGATCTGTTATTGCTTCTGCATGTTTATTATTATTTGTTATCACCGGCCAGACATGTTAGAATATTGATTTTGGGAGCCTTGATTATGTACTCTATTATTATGCATGTTTTGAATTATGAACTTGAATATTTCTTATGTTTGATATTATCCATGAGGCATGATGATTTGTTTGGCTTGAGATGTGGTTATGGGATGGTTGATTCCCGTTGTTTTAGTTTGAACTTAAATTATTTAGTTGAGATAAATTTTGTAATGCCCAATAAATCAATTTTTAAAATGGTTTGTGAAAAAAATTCTAATTTTAGAAAAATATTCAGTATTTTCTCTTTAAAATGCACAGCGGGTCGTCAAGTTCAAAGTCACCAACCCATGCCTAGGTACAGGCCGGGCCGGGCCTTACTCGGATTTGGGACCCGTCCTTAAAAATAAATTTGAAAAAAAATATTGTTTATTTCTCGGGTTACATACATATGACCCTGAACTGGCCTGGTTTGAATCCGGGCCTTTGAAATATGATCACCGGACGAGCTGGCCCGATTTGAATCCGGGCACAAGCCTAGACTCGTGGTCAACGGGTCTGATCGAACAAGGTTCGTGTCGAGTTTGGACCGAGTTCGTACCGGTTTTGGGTCGGGACTAAGGGCCGAGTGACCTGTGGCTTGTCTACTCATAATATAGTATATCTTAAAGTCCATGAAAGTCTCATGAATTAATTAAGAACAATATATAAAGCTTAGGCGTTATATATAATGATGCATGCAGGTTCTTAAATAACAACTTGACTTTGCATGAAACTAAGCGATGAAGAAAAAAAAACATAAA